AATGGACCAACACAAAAAATATCTTGGAGGATCTGGACTTCGCCGATGTCTGATTTCACACAAACTGGAAGATATGCAAGTGAAAAGTAACAAGCTGGCAGAAGAAGCATCAATGATAGAACCTAAGGCGAAAATAGATAAAACAGAGGTGATGAAGATTCCTGGCTAACACCAACAGCAACAACAACAAACAACAATCAATATAAATTGGAGGAACCTGAAAGAAACAACCTCCTTTACCTACCCACATGGGAAGCATCCTTTCAACTACAGGCGGAACTGATGATAATATCAAAGCCAGAATCGGAAAAGCAAAGGAGGCTTTCATTACCCTTAAGTCTGTGTGGAGGTCAACAACACTCAGAATCTAAAATAAGATTCAGATTTTCAAATCCAATGTGAAGTCAGTGCTACTCACTTTACGGATCAGAGACTTGACGAGTCATAAAGAGCATCTCCAACAAACTCCAGACCTTCATTAACAGTTGTCTTTGCTCAATACTCTAGATCAACTGGCCAGAAAATATTAGCAACAGGGATGTCTGGAATTAATCGAACCAACCAGGAACCAATTGTGAAACAAATAGGCAGGAAGAAGTGGAAACGGATTGGCCATTCTCTGAGGAAACCATCAAATGACATCACTAGACAAGCGATCGCTCGAGTGTAACCCGAAAAGGAAGCGGGCGGCGAGTTGGTCGTCAGTGCGAGGATGACTTGGATGAGGTCATGTGAAGAGTAGATGAAAGCATGTGGACAAACTTGGAGCGGAGTGAAAAAGTTGGCAGAAAACTGAAGGCAAAGAAGACGCGCGGCTGAATCCTTATGTTCCTCTAAGAAATAAAGGATACAGTAATACTAATATTAATAAAAGCATTCTACAAAGTGCATTTAAAAATAATATAAATTACCTAGAATCCTTCAGTTATTACAAGGTCAGATTCGTAGGTGAAGGGGGAGGCCGGAGTCAGTTAAATAAACTCAACTTAAAAACCTCTCAGAATCTAGATAAGCCCACCTGAATAATGTACAGATTTTCAAATGCTGACGGACAATAACGTTGCATAAATTCATATACTACTATAAAATAGGATGCAATGAAAAATGACAGTATTCATATCGAATACAATACATTGGAGGTGAAGAGTGATAACTGTTTGAGAACACATGTAGTAAAAACGATTCAACAGATAACCCACACATGACTGTGAAAAATACACTCTAATCGGTTTTTTCTTCCAGTAACTGGTACCCTTTTACTGTGTGATGTGTCAGGCAGACGGATATGTAGGAAATCCTATGTTGCATTGCTGTCAGGTTTTTACACATATTTGCAGATCAAACCTGCTCAAATTTTGAAGACTGTACACTACAGTGATTGGTTACACTCAGAACGGAAACCCGAGCAAATCACTATTCCTTAACTGATAGATAAATTTATTCACTTTTCAGTGATGAATGACTGAAATTCTGTCGATAATTCGAAATGTACCTGTACGAAAATAGTTCGTAAAATGAAAACTGCGATTTTCAAAATTTAAAACCTTAGCTATTTCGCATTATTCTCAATATTTACAAGTCAATACATGATGTAAATTATTAAAAAACTATTCCGGCATGAAAAAGCTGATCCGTGACTGTGAAACTGTCTTTACATTCGGGTATTCAAATCGGGTAATGTGATTAATCACACAAACTTACTTTATCTGTGAAAAAGTGTTGTAAGATGATCATGAGAACACCAATCCCTGCAAAAACACACCCAACAATGAAGATAATGACAGTGAACTTCATCTGCACAGCTTTGAATGCCAGACCTAAAAATGTCACAATTCCACTGACCGTCACTGTCACAAAGAGCGATATCAGGGAGCAAAACAATTGAATATACAGAAACGCGCCGGCGAAGCCAAATGAGATCAGTAAATACTGGAAATAAATGAAGACTTATATTAGTAAATCAATGTCATTGATGCGCACAAAAACATATCAGTTGCATGATGTGTGTCATACGAGGGAATTGATCAGTAGTTAAAAATGATATAGTTTCACGCAATCCAACACAACTCGTACATTCTTTCAGAAACATCACAAGAAGAACATCAAATGAACTACTCAGTACACTTTCCCCAGAAACAGCACTTTAATGATTGTATCAAATGGCAAAAATAATAAATAACTATATGAAACCCTCCACGGATAACATTAAGTTAAAGGTAGAAATCAGGACAACATCCCCAGTAAATGCGCAAAAACGAAATTATACATGTAACTCAGACCAAGTCACTGTCAATGACAGAATAGCTCATAGATGCCACCATGGAATATTTGAAATGACAGCAACCTTGAGGCCTCGTAATTCAAGCGCAATTCAAATTTACTTAGTGAAGATACTGTCTTATTCCTCAAACCCTTTTACTACTACATGACTAAATATACCAAGTAACTGGTTGAATCACTATACATTTTCGGCATTCTCATAAAATAAAACTGACTGTCTGACAGACTCAGCCTAATTCTGACATGCTGAAGCGACACACGTTTTGCCACTTTCGGATTACACTTTTTTTCTTTCACGTTCCCCTATGGAACATAGGACTTCAAGCTAGTGGCTTGAAGTTTCTGTAGCAGTGTTTATTTTACAGGAAGGGGTTGCTAGCCTCCTGCCCAACCTTACCTCTTTACCAGCATTATTTCTGGCTTAGTGAGGTATAGGAGTGCGTTGGCCAGGGATCGAACCCCAGGCCATGTGCATGGTCGGCGAGCGTCCTCACCGCTGTAACACTGACACACATTACAGTTAGCAAAAGTGAACCGAAGTGGTCAAAGTAAGAGCTTATGCATCACCGGGATGTAATGCACTGAAAGTATCGCAACCCAATGGTCTAGAGTCTATGTCTGGACTTCTAGTTAGGGTGACGTATCTCTGGATTCTCAAATTCAGAGAAGAAATGGATGTATTATTGCCTAATATGTTCCGGCCCTCCATGTGATACTGGAACGTGATTACATTTTTCTAGAAAACATGTGGCAAAAAGAGATAAAATAAAGTGAGTAAACTTACACCTATTAGGATCAGAAGATGATCAACCACATTTTCATATTTGAATCTCCTGAGTAATACGAGAATTATAGTTGCCGCTATTCCTAAAGCTCTGAAAAGAAAACTGAAACACTTTCATATCACTGACACGAAAATGGTCAACGATATAAGAATAAAATTCGTGCAATGTGGTAGAGTGTAATTACATTATGGGCAAGTTTTGTTTTGATAAAGTCTCACAGTGTTATACAGTAATGCTTACTGATGGCGTTTCAAGCAAAATTTTTATTGCTCATAATAATGTTAAAGTACTCAAACGACTTCCTAACTTCATTTATACAGTTCCGTGTTTTTCACTTGATTTGATTGGTAGTAGTATTTTCAATTAATCCGGTTTGAGTGATGAATCATTTCTATTGCATGTAGACTGGATGAACCAGGCAGGATCCAGAAATCAGCTGAGGTCCTTTGACCTACAAAGCTTGTCCCTGAGTGAGTTTGTGGGTTGACCCAAATAGACAAAATAATATTATTTACAAAATACCGTGCAATGACTGTGAGTGGGGTCAACTACATAGGTCACACTAGTAGGTCAAGGGTAGTCAGATTGTCAGAACCTAAGAATTTAGCTAAGGTAAGAATGGTGGACCCTGAAAAGATAAGTAATTTAGAAAAAACCTCAGCAATTGCGACGCATGCATTAACATACAGCGACTCAATAGGTAGAGAGAGGGTTGAAATTCTAAAACGTAATCTAAGTAGGGGGAGAGAGAGGTTGATTACTGTATCCTTGTTCATCGAGTCTACACCAAACACATGCAATAGAAATGATTCATCACTCATACCGGATATATTGAATATACAACTGCCAGTCAAATCAAGTGAAAAACACGGAACTGTATAAATGAAGTTAGGAAGTCGTTTGAGTACTTTACATTACTATGAGCAATAAATTGTGCTTGAAACGCCACCAGTAAGCATTACTGTATAACACTGTGAGACTTTATTCAAACAAAATTTACCCATAATGAAAGATGGTCATCGCCTAGAATCCAATAAAGTATAATTATATTTAAATAGTTTACACACAATGATAAGTTTTGTTATTGGTAATATTTCGAGCAAAATTACTGTCCGTGTTCACACCACAATTGGAATTGGGAAAAAAACAATTCCAACAGTGGTGTGAACACGGACAGTAATTTTGCTCGAAATATTACCAATAACAAAACTTATCATTGTGTGTAAACTATTGAAATATAATTATACTTTATTTGATCTAATCCACAATGCTCAAAGCCTAGAATCCAGGTTATCTTTGAAATTGCACCTGCTAGACTGGAGGGATAAAAGATGTGTCTTTCATCGAGGAATTACATTGATTGTGGGGATTGATTTCTCTTTCATGTGGAAACTATATCCTATGAATGAAATGGCGACCTGCTTGAAAGCTTGAGGCGCCTGATCTTCTATTCATCAAGTGAGCCGTTTCATTATGTCCATTGGTCAACAAGTATAGTTACGCACACTTTTAGATGGCATTCTTGCTACTTCTGCACATTTCGCGATGACGAAACAGGAGTAACTGACTCAACTTTACAACGGTAGTTAAAAGGAAGTATGTGGTGCAATTTTGACTCCCTGATGACAAACTCTGAATAAGCTTAGCGTAAATTCCTACCCAGGAAACAAGAAGAGAGCTAAACGTTTGACCAGTAAACTCATGGTCTATAAACAACGCTACTGTCAGCAAGACTTCTAAGCCTGAATCCCAGTGTTCTACTCAGAAGTTATTTCATATGAACATAAGGTTCACAAAGAAATGGTCATCAGTCAAACATATCGTGAAAAAAATTGACTTACATTAAAATAGTCTGCGCGTTAGGATGACTGGCGAAATAATCTGTAACTGCCTCCCTGGAGCATAAAAATAGAATTATTCACTTCGAAGACTTACGAATTGCTCACGACTAAAATCATGCACACAGTCCCCAGAACAAAAAACAGTGTGTCGACTAACATCTGTATGATTCATTATAGGAATATGGAATAGTGATAGTGGCTTTAATTACCCAGATGAAGTAAAACAGATATCGGCTTATTTTTGTGTGCAATGGCGATTCTTTCAAACTGGACGATGTTGAACACTCCGCTGACATTGTTCCTTCTCTGTAAATAATTCCGGAATTATAATACAAATGCACTTTAAAGGATAAACATAGAAAGAAAATAGAAGAAAAGTATATCCATTTGCAGCCGGAATTAAAATACCTGAATAGTATGACATGTGTAGCGCCCAATGAACAGATGTGTATATGTCATTTAGTCAGTAAGAGTTTCTCTGAACCACTGTGAATAAGGCTGAACGTGATTTGGGGAGTGATGAATAGGGTAGGACACAATGGCCAGCAAAAATCGCTTCTGAATTTGCAATATTCATTAATTTTAGTTTAATTTTGAATCAAGAAGTGTTGGCTGAACACTACGCTATTCACGAATGCTAGGAAAACTGGTTCTGAATTTAAGTTCACAGCATCTGGTTCACAGAATTTTCCGTCAAGAAGTTAACTTCATTCGTTCAAATTTGCTCCTCACATTCCGCCCACCGCTGGCTACTATCTAAGTCAAATGATTCTTCCTGCAGTCTTCATCCATGTATAACCCACCTGACTGTTCTTTGTGAGCAAGAAATCAGAGCCAAAGGAATCAAACTGCATTCTGGCGGTGATATTGATTCCTGCAGTTTTATCGACACATGTAGGTCAGTCAGTCGATGACATCTATGAGCTTGAAACTGCTAGGTGCACAGACGAACATGATAGTTAATGAATTTAATTTAACAAGTTCTGTGAACTTTATGACATAGATGTCAGCGTATCTGCATCAAAATCCATCTTTTGTACACCTAATTTAGTAGTGTTGATACTCAAGTTTATAAGTACTCCGATATTGTAGAATATTTGGTTCATGTTATTAGTGATAACGTTGATAACACCACTTACTTATCACAGTCTCAAACTTTATTTTCTGTAGAATCAAAACAAATACCCATTTATATATTATCTGGAAATTTTTGTTATTAAATAGATTGTACTGAACTTCGATCGTAAACAAATGAAATAGATTCACAATACTGTTTATATGTCTGCGTTTAGGAGTAACTAGTTTGAATCTATACTTGGCTGCCCTTCAAGTGTATCGCTGTTCTCACTGTAAATGGGACAGTCATCAAATATTGCTAGATTTCTTTTGATTTCTTCGAGGTCGGACCGTGGTACATTGCCTTCTACACCAAATCTTAACCTTAGGAATGTACTTGCATATCCGACAAACGTTCTTTTGTAAAGTTGCTGCTTCTGTCATTCACTGAAGACTGCCTTATGTCTGTGAACTTTCCTAGACCATGTTTACCTATGTTGTGATCAAAGTTCTCATACTGTGAACAGATTTGTATTTCATAGTCTGATGTTTCAGATGCAGCTGGTGTGAAACACGGTCTTAGATCGTGGATACCGTTTGACATTCCAAAGTTATGACGATATATGTGTATTAATGGTTATTTATTGCTGATGGCAGTGAGAAATCAAACTAGCAGTCAGTTCCTTGCGAAAAGCAGTAGCTTAACAACTGTTGTAATTGTGAGTTAATCATTTATTCTTCGAAGGATTCACAACTGCATTTTTGTGAATATTGTTGTTTTCTAAATCGTTAATAAAATTGCAAACTTTGCCTTCAGCCTTTACGGTAACTTCTCAGTGTGATGATGAAGCCACATTTCTAAATGTCATTGAGAGGCGGAGTATTTCTACGTGTGACTTATCCAAAACCTCCATCTACTCTCCTTCTGTACTTTCCAACATAGGAATATAGTCTCTGTTAATAGTTCTTGGAATACCACAGCTCATGATGCTAGTTACACAATACAAAAATATAATCACTGCAGATGGCGTCACTTAATATTTTCTCTTCATTCAGCTTCGTCGAGCGAAATAATTAGCTGTTGTATTTCACGCGACAGGGTGCTGTTTATTCTGAAACTTACTGTTTTGCTTCCGAGAAATCCACCTTGGCACTTTGAAAGCTAACTGAAATATGTTTTAGTTCATTTTTAGACCTATGGATACGGTTTAATGGTCAGAAGCAATAAGGATTAGAGAAATAGACGTTTTCCACCTAATCGTACAATATAAGATTGTATAGCAATATAGATTACAGAGAAGCTACTTGAAGATGTGATGCAAAATTAAGAATACATACGTATGAAACAGTTTCGGATGAATGAGAGGATTGTAATGACGCTGGGATACCCCTGCCTGTGAAAGGTATTGTACTTCCGAATTCGTAGTAAACGCTGCGACTAACTTGGACAAGTTCGTAACACCATACTAAGTTTACAGCAATTTTCCATAACACATTAAATCCACCCCATAAGAGGCTTCAACCTGTCATTGAAACTAACAAAAGAGATCTGTTTGCGAAGGACAGATTTAGGCTCATTAAAGTTTGAATCTGAGACTACACTAGACTACAAATCATATTCTACTGTCAGCGTATCTGAGTTGGCAATCCACCGAAAAGACAAAGTGGAGCTGTCGTTCACTTTCCTCCTCCAACCTAAAGCCAATGGAACGGAAGCGTTCAATTTTTGAGTAAGAACATCTGACAATACTGAGTGCTAAGCGAATGGATTCTTTATTGCCTATCTCAAAAATTTTTTATCTAAAATGATCATAAGCACTAACTTCGGTTGAAGACAAACCTCCGATGTGAAATTTCCTGGGTGAGTTTCATTCCAACTAGAGTGAACATTGACTACCACACACGCTCCAAATAAAGAAAACTCGTCAACAGACGTTTAGTCATAGTGAAAAAGTTTCAGTGTGACAAGTATTATTCTGTCTTGAACGCATTGATTCAAACTGATGTAAATTAACCTCAGACAAATAAGCAGCCGATTACCCCACATAATTACAGGGACAGATTTAGTGGGGACGATTACACTACATTGAATAAAAGCAGAATGGCTGTAGCTGATCACTGCTGCAAACTGAATGACTGTGCTGAGAATTCTGACTTAAAACCTGCTTTTCAACACACGCGTGCACAAACAGACACTTTTCTTCAAGTATTGTGGGTATATAAATCAAAACGGCTTATTGAAATGTGAAAAGAAGCGCCTGGATACAGTCCAACCATATCTATGTCAGCTTAAACAGGTCAACACAGATTTAAAACAAGTTCAGACACTTTTAACCATAATAACACGGTATAACTCGACCGCAATAACGTTGCAGCCGAATACTGTTTATTTCTGGGCTTTAATTTCCGGGATGAGTAACATTTGTAAACGCTGAATTTTTGCATAGTAAAATGAATTGTTCTCTCTGGCGTGAACCGGTCTCTCTTAAATCTTCATTTTATGGACGGTGCAGAGAGTTTACTATCTGCGTTAACTACGATATTAAGTAGCGTTTAGGAATCAGAGATAGTACTGTACGGCTGGGGTGGGTCGTTGAGGATACCGATATACAGATATGAAGACAAGTCTTCCTGTGATAATAACTGGGTGATTAGTTTGACCAATATGGTTCCATTATGGGTAAAATATATTTTGATACAGTCTCACAGTGTTATGCAGTAATGCCATATACCATGATTTGATTATAAGCAATACATTGTGCTTGAAACGCCATCAGCAAATATTACTGTATAACACTGTGAGACTTTGCCAAAAAAATTTTACTCATAATGGAATTATACTCTACCACAGTGCCCAAGTTCTCTTCTTATTTCAATGTGGTATCTAAAGTTATAGACTTAATAATAATGCGTAGAGTAAGCGGTTTTGAGAGGAGCAAACACGAAAGAATCAGGCAGGCTTTGGACCAGGAAGAGGGTGTATTGATCATATATTCACTCTCCGACAGATTCTGGAACATAGGCATACTCACTGGCGTCCAACAACCGTTATATTTCTTGGCCTAATGGCAGCATTCGTTTCTGTAGACCGAAAGGTACTCTGGTGGTTTGGCTGTAAATAGGAATACCGAGAAAATGCATTACATTGAACAAGGCACTCTACTTGAACTCATGCAGCTAGGTGAGAACTTACAGCGAGTTGTCATCTGAAGTGATGAAAACCAGTGGTATCCATCGAGGATGCCGACTCTCTCCATTTTTGTATAATTTCATCATAGATGTACTAGTGGATGTAAACCTAAACGACTTCGGCAACCCAAGGACTGACATGTTACCAGAGAATAATCTCATTTATTTAAAATATGCAGATGATATAATCCTTCTAAACTTCGCCTTGTTTACCAGCTTACTAGTTTTCTAGCCGGTTTCAAGCTCGCGCAAAAAGAGGGAGGGCTGGCCGTGATGCTTGTGACCATACACTGCCAGACAAATCAAACTGCTAAAGAAACTTCAATGCACATGAAATATACTATGAAAATAAACTTATTATTCGCTGGAATCGGAGAGGAGAAATGACACAAAGGGCTGGAAAAACTAAGCCTTCAGGAAACCAGTCAGCTGATGTGTATTCTCTCGATAAAAGCAAAATTAGGAATGGATGTGAAATGTCCGTAGAATGTAAGAGACAGAGTCGGCTACTCAGGTAGCCATACGCATGCGAAGATATGGTATAAAAGTGTTGGTTTCTGCGGGAGCAGACGGCAATGATATGGACTACCAAAATAGTAAACTAGTGAGCCACTAATTTACTCCAGTCAACGAGACGACAACCGCGAGCACATTGAGGTAATGAGTGGATATCATAGTGAAATGAGAACCAATTTCATCTAGGGTCGTGACAGCAAGATTCAACTCCAAAGGAAGAAGGAAAGTAAAAATTATTCAAAGCTACGCCTCCATCTCAGCCTAAAAAACAAGAGTCGGATTCTATGTCAGTCAGTTATCCAATGCGAGCAAGAAACTTGCACTACATATCATGAAAAGGATTTCCAACAGGCTGTTGTAGACGTTTGTCATCAGATGCCGCCTTCGATAGCTTCATACAGAAGATAAAATGCCCAGCTGGCGAGAAAGAATTAGTAACAAGTACCTCTGTCTGAGAACAAAACAACCAAGGGTCAGTCGCCAAACAGATATGTGAGAGGAAATAGAGATGAATCGAGCATACATTGAGGAAGCTATTGAATGAAATCGTGCTCAGTCCAAGTCATTCTTTGAGTGGAATCCCCGTTGGTAGCAACGAATAGGTCATCGGTGCGTGGGTGACGTGGAGGAGACCCTGCTATCCGGAGTAGATGAGAGATTATGGGCATAATGTACCTGGCTGAAGAGGGCATCAATAAAATAGAAGAAAATGGAAATGTGTCCTTGAATTTCTATGTTCCACTTGGAACTGAAGGGAATAATGATACTAATGTTCCTTCTATAAAACCGAACCGATAAAACGAAGAGTATTTTGAACACCCTGAGCAACAGTCTTCCAATGCTTGGTTTGCAATTCGCTCCTGCTGAATGTAAGGTGATACTACTGGACTAAACTACATCAACTCCTAGCTTTAAGATAAGGAGTGAAGTGGTGTTGCGAATTGACTACTTCACTTATTCGTGTAGTTGCATCAGCCGCAACTGGTTCATCGTTGATGAAATATCTGTAAACATACAGAAGTCTTGTTAGGTGTAGAAGTGATGTTCATCTGTCGACCAAATGGCGTGTATACTGCTTCCCAGCCTGCCCCATCCTCCTTCACGTTTCGTTGTGACATATATCCATTGAAAGTAGAAGATTTGAAAAAGCTGGCTGTCTTTGACCATAGCTGCCTGTGTTCTGTCTCTCGTGTTAGGTTGTATAATAGGATGAGCAATATTGAGGTTAGGCATCGAGTGCTAGGTAACGAGGGGAAATCATTTGACGAGGTTATGATGTTACACCTATTGAAATGGTTAGGACATGTGTTGCGCATACCTAGCCATCGCAGTCCCCAACAGGCAATGTTGGCTAATATGTGATCAGGTTGGAAAAGAGTAGGCTAGTTGTGGTAAAACAAAAACATGGCATCAGGAGAATAAATCCACGTAGGGAGGTGTAGACGTCCTCGCTCGTTGCGGTCCTCGAGATGATAAAAACCAGTGGATGGAGAAAGTCGACGATGTGTCTCAAAATCCTCGTTCTCAATGACGAAGAGGCATGAAATCTTTGTGATGTATAATATTCAATGAAATTCTTTCGTTCTTCCGTATTCCTATTATGCTTGCCTCACTCACACTTGTGTTCATCATCTATCTTTCGATTCCCGCTTCACTCGCTTCTCTTGTTTTGAGCGCAATACTTAGTGTGGCAGATTGAACTGCTGCGCATCTGTGCCAATTTCTACGTCATTCACGTCTTCAATTTTGAAGGTTTTGAAGGTCAGATGTAGTCAGTAATCCCTTTTAGTAGTGAATCCACAAAATCAGCATCGCCAATATAGTTACATCAGCGACGCAACATTATGTAACTCACACTGTGCATGCAACTTGATTCAAACGGTTAACATTCTTATCGATGTAAATCGACACTTTACACACACACACACCAAGTTGTGACGAGAATACTTTTTGTCAATCACATTTCACAGCTTAACATTTTGTAGTCTCAAAAAAAGGAACCCGCTTGTTCTTCTTCTTATTATTATTATCAGTACTTCAAATATTCCGAATGACGATAACAACAAAAAATTACACAATTTCAAAATTTACGATTGTTTTAGAGTTAATCAAAGGTTAACACTGATAACTGAGGAAAGAAAAATATTTTCCGGCAATTATTTCTGGTTGTTCTATTGATAACAATATTAAAGGTGGCTTTATCTCATTATCTAGAATCAACATTATCATATGAAGGTCGGAAGATATAACTGAGTAAAATGTTACCAGAGTAAATTCAGAATTTGTGTGCATATTCACTGCATATATAAACATATTTACACAAATGCAAAACTAAATTAGCTGTTATAAATCGCATGGCGTCTGGTTTGAATTATTTATCACTCTTATTGTTCTTTGCTTGCCTTTCAGAAGGAACATTGGTGATATATCACCAGCTTAAAAGCATACGACGAACAGAGACAAAATCCATATTAGTTTGTTTATTAGATGTTTCACAGAGTGGTACAGTATTATTTATTGGATGACGTTTCGAACAAAATCCATTATTGTACATAATCATATGAATTATAATCATAAGACTTCGAAACTTGAGTTTTATAGTTTTCTTTGTTCTCTTCTATTTGTGGTCGTAGGGGTAGTTGAAATTTCCAGATATCTGGGACAGGTGTTGAATCATTCCTATCACACATGTTTGCAGTTGATTCACCCTGTGACATTAGATTTTAAAACTATCATCTTGTCCTATCCTATTGTCTGTTTGTGTGTAACTGCATGTAGTGCTATAGCTGAACTGTTCTATAAATTTCTAATCTTATTCGGATCAACCAATCTAGCTTTAGCTAGGTTTTCATGTTCAGCTAGTCTGACTGCCCCTGTTCTACTAGCTTGACCTATGTATTTGACCTGACAATCATTGCATATCACTTACATATCCATCATCGTTATTAGTTTCAACAGTTATTCATAAGACCCTTGAGAGCGAATGAAGGTTTTTTGCGTAAAGAAGATGGCTGTGGAACAGTTCAAAGTATTCGCTTACAAATTAGATTCTATTATTAATGTTCTGGCTATCAATTTGATTGTCGAAAAATTGTTTAGGATGAGAGAAATCTGATTACGGGATGGTGTAAGACTACTCTATATCCCTTTCGTATGTAGGCTAGGTTTGTTACTTCTCGTCACTAATATGTTAGCCAACAGTCAGATGAATACTTTACTGGCCGATGTACGCCCTGTTGCCCTCTAACACAATTTACAAGCTTAACGTGAAAGAACTTTACTTTTAAGTCCTGACCTGTTCTAGTAAGTAACACTGGTGACACAAAGCCGCTTTACTACTCAGATGGCCAGTATCGCCATTAGTTTGCATTCAGACGATGTATCAATGCAGATACAATTCACCGACCAGCAAAGAACAATTCACATGGCGTTAAGAATCAGAGAAATGCGGAATATAATTACAGGTGGATAGAATGATAATAAAACACTTGAAATAAGCAATCACACTAATAATAATAACCACGATAAGCACATGTCATTCATGTAGAATTCTCTAATCTCATCATCATTTTGAAGGTGAATATGTTAGCTGGATGCTATTTGAACTGCTAGCAGTAAAATTGTCAAGTGTGAAGAAGGTGACCACATGAATGCATTCCTAACACCTATAATGATCTGCCTAATTTTATTCAACCCACATGTGGGCCTAATGATTTCTTGTTCTATGAGCCTTTATAACGCCACATATCCTGATAAAATAATGAAAACGGGGATAGAAAAGTGTCTGAAAACTGATCTATAATTTAAGTGAGTATTTTGCTTTAGTCCATGGCTCTAGTTTTCCAGAAATGAACTGTATGATTCTTGAGATTGTAATCACCGGTTAATGTGAACACACTTTCAAACGTATACTACTAACAGCACTCATGTGGAAAAAAGGAAAAAGGGACTCACAAGCAAGCGAATACTGTATAATCCCGCCAGTCGAGAACAGTGTTTGCAGATACCTTAAAAATAAAATGTTCGTTGAATGTGAGTAATTATTCTAATAGTATTCGAAGAAATTCGATTTAAAAAAAATTGATAAAGTTTTAACTAAACGTTGACCACGATATGACGATCTTGCAGCAAATATCAAAGGATCCTGATGTTCAATTGTGCAGCATGAATATTTTATGATGTTAGACTGCCTGCAGAAGTAATTGATGTCATAAAACAATGATGTATGTATAAAAAGTGCATATACTTTGAGACACAGACGTCGATAATGAATACGGAATAGCAAGCGAATACATAACATTCAAGAATTTATTCCTGAGTATCTGTCAGTTTATAAACAGAAAACATGGAAACCCTTAGTTTCCCATTGAAACCTCATTATTCACCTTAACCAGGATTTCATTGAACTTTACTCAAAGGTGTAACCTTATTTTAGAATCTTAATTAACCATTAAAAAAAGATGATTAAACTCTATTCATATGGACATTTCAAGTCGTATTGTTATGCATAAGATGTTTTGAATCAAGGTTCATGTTCAAGTTTGTTTGAATTTGATGTAATAAATTGTATACAAATAAATTACACTAAAAACATATTAGAAATAGGCAAAGTAAAAATGTTCCTCCAAATCACTACTTCAATGAAATTGGAATCACCGCTAAATAATGATACAAGTATCAAACCAAATAATCCATGAAATCATGAGATTTGAAACCATGATGTTGCACGCTGAATGCAGCTTTAAAGGTTTTGAATACGGTAAAGTACAGTAATGACAAACAATATGAACAGAATCGCTCACCTTCGGTGTGACAAATGCTGAGAATTTCATTCTGTATTATAAGTACTGTTTTTGGAATAAAGCAAATTATTATTGTTATTATTATAAATTCATCTTACTTGAAACGTTACACTATTCACTATGAGGAATGTTCAAAGTGTGTGTGAATATATCTGTCTCATTCTTTATACTTTGATTTATAGCTTTTTAATGTTCTTAATGAAATTTTTCAATAAATGCGATCAAAGGTTTTAGTTGACATCAAAGTTTTTTAATTATGAGCATATTCAGTAGGGACTTTAAATCACGAGTCAATAAATATTTTACTTTGAACCATGTAGTGTTAAAAAGTGGTGAATTCATGGAACTGCTGAAGTTAAAAGTAATCAAAAATTAATGATGATCACTACGACGATTCATCTACTGACTCTGCGCAAAGTAGTCAGTGAGCTTAGGTTATACTAGATTTACATGGAATGCAATAACGAATAGCTTGTTATCTAATCTGTCAAGATCTAGTGACAGAGTGAGATTTAATGTGGAATTTGTCTACTTTAAAGAGACTTCTTCACAGAAATTAGATAACACCTGCGTAGAAATGCGTTTTCAAACCGTGGGTTTACTGCTAATAACTCAAAATCCTCGTAAGCTATATCTACAGTTTCGAATTAAGGTTGAAATGGAAATTTTGAATTTGGTGCGAACGAAATGTGCTACTCAGGATCATCCACTAAGTGATTGCTTATCCAGGAAGCGTTCTTGTCATTCTGCACACTTGGATTAAATACTGATCAATTCGCTGATCTCATATTTCAGCGTAATGCCGTGTAGCTAGTTGCTCACTTAAAAATAAATTTTATTTGCGTCGAAATATTTGTTGAATGAACAAGAATTGAAGAAACGGTCACCTAAGAACAAAAACGCTACATCATCAATGTTGCCTAGCTTCTGCAGCTAATATTAGTGGGCAAATAGTGAATATGTTGGAATAAAAATGATTCATGGGAGCATTAACTAACAGAAAACCAGTGAAACATAACAAGCAGGACCCTTTTACTTAAGGGATACTGGAAATCTTGCCAGCATTCTATGATTGAATTCATCTCACCCTAAAAAACCAATTCGACGAATAAACTGATAACCATGGCTTTGTAATGTAGAATCTAATGAGTGTTTATTAACTAAAAATAGTTCCGCAACGTCTTGGTTTATGTGGAAACGTCTGCTGTATTTCATAGTAAACGAATTCAATTAGTAGGACTTTCCACTCGTAACGTATGATGGGTGTGGATCGATGGAGATAGATCCGATTGAAACATTCTTCCTGCATGTAAAAGCATAGTAAGACATACCACTACAATCTGACAAAGAAATCAATGTTTTTTTCCTTTCACACTTTGAAATTCAATAAAGCTGCTTTGAACTTATATTTTAGATCCTTGATTGTGATTTTCTGTATGCTACTGTTCCTAAAATACAGAAAAAATATGGGAATTGCGTTGATCCTGATAGGAGTAACCTGCTCAAAAGTAGGTGAAATTAAATCAAGAAGAAAACCAGCAGATTTTAATATATTTATCATATTTCGGTAGGACTTTTCAGCTGAATATTGCACATAGGCATATGTGTTAATATACATATACATATATACACATATAATCATTATCACATTGGAAAATGTAAAACTAATAAGTAAATTAACTACACTGAATCACTCACAGGCCGATTTCGAGGGGAAGGGAGTATTAGAAACCAAAATTTAGTTTTTATTACATTAAGTCAAATTACATCACTTCAATAAACAGTTAGCTGTCGGAGAAGGAATTTGAATATATGAACAATTGCAAACTGAAAAATACTGCTGCTTATAATAATGGTGAAAGTGATAATGTTGAAAGGAGTTAAGATGACGGTGCTGATAAAGGACAGTTTTAAATAAATCATAACTAATGGAAGCAAATGGAATAGAATATTTTCAGTGATAACACTTAAGACTTATCACCATAATGGATACTACCGAATTGCTCGATATGATTATGAGCAATAAATTGTGCTCGAAACGTCATCAGCAAACATTACTGTATAACACTGTGAGACTTTATCAAGACAAAAATTTATCCATAATGGAATTTCCTGAAAGGTGTACTTTCAGTTTACTCTTATCATACATGTGTGTAAGAGGTAGTTTTATTGGCAAAATACTGGTCAATGAGGCATTTATCTTGTGTAAGTCATACTGTTTTAACTGGAACTGATAACTGATCTGATTACCGCTTACTCTTCCTACATTGTAGGCTATTTTCTTGACAGTCAATAGACTGAGATTTTGCACCACATTTAAAGACGTCTACTGCACAATCATATTCTGTTTGTGGCTGGAAATGATCATAATGTTTGCTGCAATGTATGCTCCCTTTTATAAATTTCAGTGAGCTTGTTAAAAATCATAAAAAGTTATTATTATTTTCACTCTGGTTACTATATGTCATTTCCGATAAATAAATATTTATAAATTTGAGTCACTTCAAGTTGTTTTTCAGTCATATTCTGTAGAATATCCAGGATGTTGCGCCTGAAACATCTTGTAAGTTGGTGACACAATGGATTGGTAAATTCATCACATAATTTTACGATTCATATTGTAAATTAAGAAAACTTTACTACGTGAAGAGACTTTTTTCAAAGAAATTGTTATTGAGCAGTTCAATAGTATATGTGTATGAATAAACAGACGTTACTCCTTAAGGAATCCTATCCGGTGAGGGAACTGAATCTAAATTGTGAGTACATGAAATATTCATAGTATGAAATGCAATCAAAATATCAAGTGGCTAAACAATTATTGCCGTATACAGAACAGTTCATAAGATGTTTAGGTGTTGGAAAGGAGCGTATAACTATAGTGTGAGTCGGCTAACATAAAACGTCACTTGACATGGTGTGAAATTTGAAAACATTGCATTCAACATTGTAAAATAATTTTCGGATTAATATAGCAAGTGGGACAGTTGTAAACGATTCAAAGTGAGAATGGTTACAATAATAATAGTAATAATAATTGAAATGATAATCGTAATAAGGAGTGAAACGTTTGCATTCAACAAGGCTACTCCTCCTTTACAATTCACTTTAGAAAAATAATCTGAAGCAAACATACTCTCTCTTGATGTGTGCCTTATTAAACGCAATAACGAATCTCTCGAACGATCCATCAACCGTAAATGTACATGGATTGGAGTCGGTTGCCTTACCTCAGTACAAGGAACTGAAGTCGTTCTGTCTGCTTTAGGTTAAGAAAAATGTATAGCCCTGATTGAGTTGACTCAGAACTTGATTCACTAAAAGCCGTTCTAGCAGAAAGCTGTTACGCCAACTCAATCATTGACAGAATTACGGAAGAGTAGCACTTTAAACTAGTAACCCAGTCGTTTTCGAAGAAAATCATAGTCATGAACTGGGAACTAAGAGGTGATCAAGCCATTAGTCATTACGTTCTTTTTCAGAAGTCATAATAATTTTTTGTTCGGATCTATCGAGTGCTTAAGCCAACGTTTTTTTTGAGAGAGCTGGTTGGGTTGAATGCCGCCATAATTCTAGACTCATTGAGAAACCTAATTAAGGCTTGTGGGGTTCAAATTTTGTAAATCAGGCCTACAACGCCTTTGATCTCTATATTATTTTTGTCATTTTCAGTTATTTTTTGCATAGGTATTCACATTCGTCTGAAAAACTACTAGTGAGTAGGCATCCTCAAGTGGTATTTTCTTTGTTTGATGTCACTAACTGAGCCTTTGAGGCTGAATGAAATCTTCGTCACCAATACATATGACTCTTCCCCACTTCGTGGTAACCCGGAATTGCTAATGGACTTTCAGTGACCACAACCACACCATACTGACAAAATTTCAGCCACATTTCATATTGGTCAGATCAGCGTATAATGAATTTTTGTTCATATTCCGAAGGTTATACGTTGAGATGAAAAATCATTCAGTGAGACTATTCCCTGACTATAAAGTAAACTATATCAATGCCTGAAGATTAAATTCTGACACTTTTGTATCGTTTGCCTTAAAACGTTTTCTTTTAATTTTGTCTGCCTTCTATCAGTTGATATCCATATACTACTGACTGTTCTTGTCAGTAGCACATGGTAAAAACCTTAAACAAATTCTTTCGAAATTTGATGTTACATTTACAACAAATTATAATGATGAAGTCCTCAACAACTTTTCACGCAGTCATCCAAAGAAAAGCCACTGCAAACTACAGAAAATTGGAAAAAAACATTGGATTTAGTTTCTGTCACTATGTAATACTTTTTATTGTATTTCGTGCATATCATAATGTTTTCGTTATTTTGAGGACTTCATTTGAATTGTTTTATCTCGTCTAGGGTTCAACGTAAATGTTCATCTGAAAACCTTTTGGTCAAAGTTTCGAAGAATTAGATGGATATCTTTGAAGATGAATATTTTTTCGTATATCATTTGTGTGACCACTAGTTAATGTGTTTGTTATCCACGTTCTTGTTCACCACTTTGTATGGTTTGACGTTAACCTAATCACACTGTCATTTACAGAAATCACAAATGTATCACTGTACGTCAGTTTTTCTAAGGTCAAGCGTTTTGCATTATGGCACTACTTTAGTAGCATTTCAAACACAAGGATTTATATTTTAGAGTAATAATATGAGATTCGTTATGGATTTTTTCTTAGAATGTGAACATGGCCATCATCAGTTCACAGACTACACATAACTTAAGATAACATAACAATTTCGCTTTTATTCCAGAAACAGTACTTGTGGTACAGTGTGGAATTTTCAGCACATATCTACAATATTGCATCTAATTTCATCGTACATTTAAAAGAAGTATTACAAACAAATAAATATAAAAAAGCACAAAAAAAACCAAAAAAGAAAAACAGAAATAGCGAAAACAAAAAAATGCAAATAAAAATACCAAATAGAAGAAAAGATAAACACCAATAATGAAAAATATTTCAGTATTGGGTAGTGGAAGCTATGATATGTGTATGCGTCG